TGTAAGAAGTGTTCCTCTAATCACGTCCGTTTTTATAGCTTATTTTGTGACAAGCTGAGATTCAGTAATTGTTCCAGTGGGAATAACAGCACAAACCTTTGGAAAAGCTTTACATAAAGGGACTCCGGGTTCTTCGCTCATTTGTACATGTGAACAGTGATGGAATTAAAAACTAAGAAATGGTGTTTGAAAAAACAGAAAAGTTCAGCTTATGCCTGATGCAGAGATTATGACCAACCAAAAATGACCAACATTGTCAGTCACCACTGTCCACTTGTGACATGAGAAATAATCAGGATAGTGTGGTTTCAGACACCATATGACAAGCACTTCATTTCAAAGCCTACTGAACTGGGCAGGGATGCAGGGAGGCTTTAAGGAGGATCAACAATACTGATCTTACAGATACTTAGCACCTCTAGATGTCTAGAGATTGATAGCCAGTGAACTGTTTAACAGGCAAACTGCAACAAGAACTTTTGAAATGCATCTTCCGCAGAATGACAGGGCAATGCGCTTATGCACATATGCTGACAGTTTTTAATAGGTTTCAGATTTTGAACTGTTTGAAATTGCTTTCTTTTGCCTTGTGAAACTTTGTCCCTGAAGTAAAAATAGTGAAGTTAAACATAGATTATATTCCTTGGGTGCAGCTAGCCTTGAGGCGAAATGCAGTAGCACCAAGTAATTCAACCTGAAGCAGCATGTCAGCAAAACGCACTCAATAATAACAATGCTTCACACGGATGTCAATTTGAAGCTCCCGTTTTACTGAGCTGACACCTTGTTCACGGTACTTGCGTTATTTGGCAATGTAGTGCTCGATAAGGTATGCATATTCTATAGATTGATTGCTATATAAATATTGTTTATGGCGATAAGGTATTAACATCGAGAAGCATGCTTGCCGATGATTTGCATGCGAGGTTATTACAGCTACTGAAGGTGCCCTTCGGGAAAATTTATAGATACGGAAGCGAGCACAATTCCCACCCGTTTTATAAGACAGCGAATACGCCGTGAAAAAAATATGATGTATGTTTGCACTACAATTCATTCTAGGTTTCACTGTTACCCATTAAAGAATACAATTTTCAATCCATAAATGCATACTGATATGAGTATGAATGTATCCTTCTTACTTTATCTCGCCCATATCCTGTAATGGTCAAGAATGTTATCTAGATACGCTCTTCCTCTACTTTGTCTTCATCCATTCTCATCTATCTGTCTCAGTTCATCTCCTTTTCATTTTTGTGGCTCTGATTTACATGTTCATGTGGATGTGTGTTGCATGGTTTTTATCCTTTAATATTTTTTCTCAAACACAGTTTTTCAGTTGTAAAGATTGAGAGCCAAGCCAAACCACGAGGCCTTGATTAAACACCTTATCTTTAAAGGGGTTTGTAAAAGCAACCTATTGCACCACATACATAATGAGCCTTAGTTTGTTTGTTTTTTTCTTTTATTATCTATTTTTCCTCCAGCAGCCATTACTTTTGAGAAATCTTGTCAAGCTTTTGTTTACAATAATAATGTTTGTTTATAAGGAAATCCGCACGGGGCACGTTTAATGTCACCGGATATTTTCACGTTTTGAGTTAAACAGATTTCAAATTGTCCTTTACATCACAGTTTATGAGAAATGTTGTTTAAAAAGCGATTGGGAATGCAGCTTCAATTTGATGTCATTTTGACTCCGTTTTTCCACTTTCTTAATATCTTTCTAAAACACAGGAAAGGAAACATGCTTCCGACGATGTTGCGTAGATGGATGAAATTTGAAGATAAGATAAGATAAGATAAGATAAGACTTTATTAATCCCTCGGGTGGGTTCCTCTGGGAAATTCGGTTTCCAAAAGCACAGCACCGACAGAAGTTACAGAGTTACAGAATATTATATATATATATATATATATATACACACACACACACACACACACACACACACACACACACAAATGGTTGAAATGGTTGTCACGAGTACATGTAGATGTCACATGTATTATGCTTTAGGTTTAGGGGCCTGTGTTTATGTGTATGTATATTTGTTGGATTTCCATAATGAAATATCTCCTAGAGCGTTATCTGTGGTAGCCTTTTGTTTATGTTTACATTTGTTTACGTTTATGTGCATGTCTGGGTGATTCCGATGTTGCACGATGGTGGTTAACATGTCATGTTTGGTTTGTTGTTAGGTAACGTGTCTGAATAACACATTAGTAAGGGATGGGACATGTAAATGCCAGACATGAAAATGAAATATTCATTCATTTACTCATTTAATATTCAGTAAATTCATCCGGGCTGCTATTATGCAATCTGGTGCTAATATGTTATCATAGAGGCTCTTTTCCAAAGCCACGAGTTTAATGTAAATTTGTGATCCTTTGATGATGCTTATTGATGATTCATTCTGCAGCATGGCCTGTCACAGAAAGCAGCTAGCTGCATATATCTTGTCTGATTTTCTATAACTCACAAACTTCTGCTGCAGCTGAAGACAATAAAGACTCCTGATAACTTAGTGGGGCTATATGATGGATGACTTACAGTCGAAAACTCAGTAAGAAATAGGCTGAACCCCTGAACGGAAGCTTATTTACAATTGAAAACTGCAGATATTAAAATTACCTATTGGATGGCCGTGTTTGTACGTCAGGATAAATACAATTACGGGGTTCTTTTGTGATGAAAAACCATTTAATCCGAATTTTAAAAGTACTGCGCAAATATCTCTAGCCACCCATTTCATTATGTTTTCCTTCCAGTGAGTCAGACTGTCATGCAATATCTTAAAGTGGTTTTGAGCAACACTTCTCCAGCTTTCTAAACTTTTTCTTTGGACATTATCTGCTTTTTTGAATATTTTCAGAGGAATGTATTTTTAATCTTTAAGCTACATAAAACTGACCTATTCAAGCACAAAAAAGAGACGCATCCATACATAACAGAAAAACTGAGCAAAGAACCAATTCCAAATTGTATCTTTAGATACTTTGTTACAACCAGTCTGTGGCAAAATCACATAATTTGTTTCTGATTTCTTTATTTAAATCTACAGAAAATGATACTGATGATAACACAGTTTGACAGGCATAATAATAATATTTTAGCTCCAACAAGGTGATTCCAAAACTTGGCATAACTCAGTATGGTGTGCAATGTGCCCTTAATAAAAGAAATCTGAGGAAACTGAACAAGTGGAGGACAAAAGTGTACAGCAGATGAACTGGACCTGAAAGCCATGTCCTTAAGAAAAGGGAAAAAATATCCAGCAAAGACCTGACACAGGATCTGAGAGACACATCTGGCCCTTCAGCTTGTCAGCCTCATAAGAAATGACCTCAGTGTAAGGTGGCTACCAAGCAGCCATTCATGAAAAATCTAAAATATGCAAAATTATACAAGGACTGATCTGCAAATTGTTGGAAACAGGTCTTATAGAGTGATAAATCCACATACCTTCATCAGTATGTACGGAGGAGCTCAAGAGAGTAACACCAGTGAGTGTCTACAATCATCTGCAAAACACGGTGGAGGTGCCGTCATGTTTGGGGCTGCATTTCAGCCTGGATAATAAAACACAAATTTAAATAGTCAATCATTGATTGGTCTTCTTAGAGCCGGGATTTCAACATTGTTGAAGCATTGTGGGATCATCTTGACAGAGAACAGAACAAAAGGTAGCCAACATCCAAAGAAGAGCTTTGAATGTCTTTTAAGAAGCCTGGAGAAATATTCTGAAGACTATTTAAAGGAAAAGACAATAAAACTGAAAAACAGGTGGTCACACTGAGTGTTGACTATTAGAATTGAACAAACTCTGTGTTTGTCTCGTATTTTCCAACCAAAAAAACACAACATTTCTTTTCACATTACTGTGGATAGATAGCCAAAGAGTGTGACAGTGTAACACACAATGCCTGCAATGCAACAAGGACCTGCTCAAAGCAGTGAGCAGCAGTACTGCCCCTTTTTGGGACACAAAATATATTAAGAATGTCCAAAACAAACAAAAAATCTCCAATATTCACTAGAAAAAGTAGAATTAAAATAAGATGCTATTTGCCTTCAACTCAAGCACTAAAGACAGGGATGACTGGGAACCTATGCCAGCGTAAGTGCAGGTGAAAGAATACATTGCACCTCCAACAACACTCTCTTTGAATTGACAGAAGCCTGCTTCAGTTGTCAATACATTTATCAGTCTTGTCACTGTGTCTCAGTCTGTCAGTGAAGCCTAGTACGTGTTCAGCCTCTATGTAATGGGCTGAATCCTATTGCTTTTGAGAGACGAGTAGAAACTAACTAACTGGAGTCTGAAACTTCAATAAAGCAGAGCAGTGCTGGAAAAACATTTGTCATACAGCTATGACAAAATGTGCACTGAATGTCCCAGATTGTTCCAACTGTATTTAACATATGAATTGTTTTTATTTTGTTTTTTAAATCCCTTGTGGTAAAAATTTAGGTGGCGTGCTAACAAAATATATCATCCTGGTTGAAATGTTGCTGAAGGCAAGATGGCTGTAAAGCCTCCTAAATATCATTTGAGATGTTTGATTTTATTTACCTGACTGATCACAGCTCTCTCCATTTCACTCCATCTGTCTGATTCTCCCCATCTTTCCCTCATCTCTCACTGTCATCGTCTGCGTTCATACCTCTCAATTGTCCCTTTACTTCATTGCTCTTCATCTACCTCCACATCTCATCTCTCACCCCACCACCACCACATTGCTCCTTCTTTTTTCCATTTATATTTCTACATTTTTTTCACATCTCTCCTTTTCCATCATTTTTCAATCCTGTTATAACTTTGCCCGTATCTGTCTTCCTCCATCTGTCATTCCCCGACCCGCTCTTCTTCTGTCTTAATCGTTACATCTTTGCATTGACTTCTCCCTATCATTTCTCTTCATCTGTTTATTTCACCCCCCAACCCCCCCAGGTCACTCTCCTAATCACTCTTTTTCTCTCTGTGTCTCCTCCGCAGCTGGTATTGTTCGGAAAAAGCAATGGTGTGAGATGGTGCCATGTTTGGAGGACGAGGGTTGCGACCTGTTAGTCAATAGATCTGGCTGGACTTGTACGCAGCCCGGAGGCCGAGTTAAAACCACTACGGTGAGTTCAGGCTCTCTTTTAGTGCCTCAGGTTACACAAAACCACTCACAAGCTGGTCGATGTGCTTAGAAAACCAACTGAAGTGTACAACCAAACCAAGGACGCTTTTTTAAAACAAAATAACAGTAATTAAAAAGTAAAGGTTAAGAGAGCTTTTTGACAAGCTGACTCATTGTACAGGGTGGGCCATTTACCGTAATAACACCGTAATAACTTGGGAATGGTTGGTGGTATTAAAGTCCTGTTTGTGGCACATTAGTATATGTGAGGGGACAAACTCCTCATGATGGGTGGTGACCATGGTGGCCATTTAAAAGTCGGCCATCTTGGATACAACTTTTGTTTTTTCAATAGGAAGAGGGCCATGTGACACATCAAACGTATTGGTAATGTCACAAGAAAAGCAATGGTGTGCTTGGTTTCAACGTAACTTTATTCTTTCATGAGTTATTTACAAGTTTCTGACCACTTATAAAATGTGTTCAATGTGCTGCCCATTGTCTTGGATTGTCAATGCAACCCTCTTCTCCCTCTCTTGACACACTAATAGCAACACCGCAAGAGAAATGCCAGCACAGGCATCAAGTATCTGTAGTTTCAGGAGCCGCACATCTCGTATCTTCACACCATAGACAATTGTCTTCAGATGACCCCAAAGATAAAAGTCTAAGGGGGTCAGATCGGGAGACCTTGGGGGCCATTCAACTGGCCCACGACGACCAATCCACTTTCCAGGAAACTGTTCATCTAGGAATGCTCGGACCTGGCACCCACAATGTGGTGGTGCACCGTCTTGCTGGAAAAACTCAGGGAACGTGCCAGCTTAAGTGCATAAAGAGGGAAACACATCATCATGTAGCAATTTCAAATATCCAGCAACCTTGAGGTTTCCATTGATGAAGAATGGACCCACTATCTTTGTACCCCATATACCACACCAAACCATCACTTTTGTTGTTCCAACAGTCTTGGAGGGATCCATCCAATGTGGATTAGTGTCAGACCAATAGCGGTGGTTTTGTTTGTTAACTTCACCATTCACATAAAAGTTTGCCTCATCACTGAACAAAATCTTCTGCGTGAACTGAGGGTCCTGTTCCAATTTTTGTTTTGCCCATTCTGCAAATGCTGTGCGCCGATCTGGGTCATCCTCGTTGAGATGCTGCAGTAGCTGGAGTTTGTAAGGGTGCCATTTGTGAATAGCTAATACCCGCCGAAGGGATGTTCGACTAATGCCACTCTCCAGTGACATGCGGCAAGTGCTACGCTGTGGGCTCTTGCTGAATGAAGCTAGGACAGCCACTGATGTTTCTTCATTAGTGACAGTTTTCTTGCGTCCACATTTTGACAAATCCAACACTGAACCAGTTTCACGAAACTTAGCAAGCAGTTTGCTAACTGTAGCATGGGAGATCGGTGGTCTCGTAGGGTGTCTCGCATGGAAATCTGCTGCAATAACCCGGTTACTGCGTTCACCAGATATCAACACAATTTCGATCCTCACGTGTTAACCTCTTCGACATGTCAATGGCTGTGAACAAAGAGAAACTTGTAAATAACTCATGAAAGAATAAAGTTACATTGAAACCAAGCACACCATTGTTTTTCTAGTGACATTACCAATAAGTTTGATGTGTCACATGGCCTTCTTCCTATTGAAAAAACAAAAGTTGTATCCAAGATGGCCAACTTCTAAATGGCCACCATGGTCACCACCCATCTTGAGGAGTTTGCCCCTCACAAATACTAATGTGCCACAAACAGGACTTTAACATCACCAACCATTCCCATTTTATTACGGTGTATCCATATAAATGGCCCACCCTGTACAGTACAGCTTTGTTCTCAATAAAAGCTCTGATCTGCAAGCATAGCAAAGCCATTTCAAATCACTGTTTTCAGCCTCAGTTATTTGGCTTGAAACATTTTTACTGTTATTGACATTAGACAGTGATTGGGCTACTTCAGAACCCTTTAAGAATCTGGGTTTTCAATGTGAAACACTTGAAGTTTCAATTTTACAACGCTTTTTCATGGATTTAAAGAATATAGAAAAATGTTATATAATGTTATACATTCTGTCAGTCAATCTACTTAACACAAAAACTGGTGTAGTCCTCTGCTGCTTGCAGCCCATCTGGTTCAGGGTTCAACATGTTGTGTGATGTACATACCTCGGTTGTAACAACTGGTTTTTTGAGTAACTGCTGCCTTAAACCAGAAAAGCTTAACCCAGAGAACTGCTGCTCACTAGATTTTTTTGTCTCATCATTTTGGGATTTTCTGTAAATCCTAGAGATGGTTGCATTAGAAAGTGCCAGCACCAACAAAACAGCAAACAAACAAGTTCAAAGCCTCTTAAATCACCTTTCTTCCACAATCTGATGCTCCAACAGGTGGTCTATACAGTGTCCACCTACCTACCTAAATGCATTGAATTGCTAATATATGATTAGTAGATTAGATATTTGCATTAGCGAGCAATATAACAGGGATAGCTAATAAAGTGGCCAATAAGAGTATTCCTTTGGATTTTACACTCACAGACACATTTTAAGTTTCTCTATTGACTGTGCACTGTGTCAGTTGTTTGTGCAAGAAAACAAACAAAAAAATGAAGAAAAGAAAAAGCATTCAAAGATGCTACCTGTACAGCTTAGAACTGAGTTTACATAAGCTGCTGAATAGAAAACTGACCTATGGACACATGTATGGACACCGGTAAAGTGATAGCAGTAGTTACTGTGGTGCAAGCAGTTGTCGGAAGTGAGATACCCAGATGTTTTACTCTACCATATTTCTATAAATAAAGCTGAAGCATTTTGACAGAATGCAGGTTACATTAAAGTAAAATACAAATCACTCAGAAAAAAAAGAGAGTAATTTTGCATCGCTAACTACAGTAACTTACTAGTAGGATTAGCAAGTAGGAAGTAAATTAGCTAGTAGGATTAAAATCAGCTAATAGTTAAATGTAGTACAAGGCATGTCTTCTTGTAGAAGATTACAAGAAGCAGTTCTTGTACATGGTCCCTGAGAAATTAACATACTACAAAATACAATACAGCTAACATTAGCAAAGGATACTGAAACCATGCTTTACTTAAGCCATGTTGGCTAAAGTAAAGGAAGTTTCTAAACATATATTGCCTTATCAGATTTTTTGTACTGTCTGCCACAGATAAACATTATACAAAAAAAATACTAACATATCTTTGCAATTTCATATTTGTTAGCCTTTTTTGTTCACTTTCAGCTAGCTCATGGAATGACAAAAATGTTTTTCGAAAAACAGTATTATTTCATAGTTTCATAGCTCTTTCAAATGGCAGATAAACAATAACTTGTATTCATACAGTCATTTTGGCATATTTTAAATTAATGTGGAAAACATTTAATATATTTATACAGAGTAGGTAACTGGAATATACTATAAATTTTACCCAACACTATGGTCTCTGAACACTGAGTTGAAAGATGCTAAAATGATACATTAAGCTAAGGAAAAAATTGCAGGGAGGCAAGATAGATAGTCATTACTGGCAACAATCTTTTGTATTATAAATGGACCGTTCATAATATATTGTATACATTATATAAATATTCATTAGTGCAGCTCTAAACAACGCACTTAGGTAATGCAAGAAAATGAATTTATCATCCTTGTTGCTTATTTGAAAAAAATTATGTAGCGCTGTTTAGCATAGCCATTTAAGCTCTGTTTCAGCACCTCTTTCAAGACTGTACTTGACAAGATTTCAAGTGCAGTCTGGAACCATTTCACAGCCTCCTGAAAATGTTTCTTTTCACCCTCCTTGTCTTCAGCTCATCTCCAAACTGAACGCGCTTTGTTTACTTCCTCGATGTCAGCAATTAGCTTAAATTAGGGACGCTCTTACTGTTAATGATGGCAGCAGATGGGAAGCCATGGCTTCTACTAGCTAAGATGACACCAATTCATTCACCCGCCTGTCCTCTACACCACTGCATCCAGCTCTCCAAGTCTCCTCCTCTCCACTTCACCCTCTATTCCACCCCTCCTTTCTCCTCCTTACCCAACAAACACCATCCTCCCATTGATTTCAACCCCCACATCTGCTTTACAAGAAGCATAAACACTGTTGCTCTCCCGCCTGTATGCACGGAGTCTATACTGTGGCAATTAAAGAGGTCTCGCTTGAGAAACATGTTACGCAACACACACACACTCGTACACACACACATAACTGCCCTATCTGTGAATGTCAATGCGTGAACACTGAGGACCAGTGGTGTATCATTAATGCATCTGTCATGATTTAGTCATCAGCTGACTAACTTGTTTATTCCTTCCTGTCGAGAAAACAAACATGTAAATACAGAATGCATAAAATATAAAAATGCTGAATGGTTTGCTATCAGGTTTCCTTCCTGTGTTGTGAGTCATGTGCGTCTCCCCGTGCCCAGACACAAACCCGAACGTTAACCCAGTTGCGGAGACTGCGGTGACAGCCGTTACAAGTTCCAGCTACAGTGCAGCTTGTTATCTGGGCAGGTTATCCCACACACATGCTGCATGCACACACTGTAGCTGTAACATTTATTATACGTGTCAGATAAAATATTGTATGAGGTGTTGCAAATCTTGGTGCTCACAGTGTGACCAAAAGGCTAATGGCATGTGCATTCAGGCTTGCATGCTAACGGGCTCTAACTGATGACTGCTATTGTGGGTTTTCCATACTGGTATCCGTGACCATGTACCCCTACTTTGTTGCACAGGGTAGCCCTGCATGCTCTGGCCTACATGTACTTTTCTTATCCTGCTCAGAATGTCACTCAATGTAGTTCTCATCCGCAGGATGTGACAGGTATTTCGTGCGTGCTTCATTGGCTACTTTAAACTTGGTGACAGCCAGTCAAATGGCTGGACAGCTATGCGCACTCATCTGTGCCAGTCCGCGTGTGTGTGTGTGTGTGTTTACGTGGGTTCTACCAGCTTTCACTGTCAGGGAGTATAA